AAAAAAAAAAAAAAAAAAAAAAAAATCATCCATCACGTTGGCACAGTAAAAACACTGTATGAACATCTAAGAAATCTCAAGGAAACTTTTACAAGAAATCATGCAGCCTACAATTTGTCTTAAATAGCGACTGATGAGGACCGTAGAGACCCTAGAACTCTAAAGTGATACCTGTTTCTTATACTCACTCAATGGAAAGACTTAAAAACGTAATTTTGTGAGCCACTTACTTTTTATAGATGGAACAAACATTATATATATACATATTTTTTTAATTCCCAAAAGTGCCGAAATCCGCAAGACAATTTAGACCTTTCAGAGAGGATAGTAAAGCTCATTTTGAACGAATTCTCTGATGTATTTGAAAACCTATAGGTGTGTTGAAAAAGGCTTCGTTTAAAGAGGTGGTACATGTAGGTTAGATGTTTCTGGGATCTGTATTTCTTTACATGCAAATGATTAAGACGTTTGATACGCGGATCGTGTTTGTGTAATAGGTTATCACTTTTGATGTCTGAGTTACTTTTAAACACCTCAATAAATTCTACGAAAAAAAAGCGAAAAATATCTTATCAATATTTATTAAACTCGTGTCCCGAATCTTTTCTATGGCTGTGGAACATACGTTACATTACGGTATGCGTAGGATGCGAGGCGTAGTTGGTATTGTAACTAATACACCCAAAATTTGAAACTGTCAATGAGTTTTAAATTCACGACGAATATGACCAGTGGTAGATAACTTTTAGGTAACAAAGTTTTCAGTTCTCTATACAATTGACAATTACTGCTATTGAAAGAGTCATCAACGTCGACATTGTAAAGAAAAATGATCTTTAGTTTGAAAGTAATTTTCCTAGATCTGGTCAATTTAAATGTATTTTCCTATGACTTTTCCATTATTAATGACTCATAGAGTTCTGATAGTGTTTAGCTTGCACAAATTTCCACAGCGCTCAACTAATGATCGTGTTTGTATATCAGGCGATTCAGTGGTAACGTATGTTCTTTCTTACGCTTTTTTCACTTCAAACGGCTATCAATTTATTTGCTTACAAAACAGAAACGCGTGGGCGTAAAATTGGGACATTTGTGGATTTTTGTTCTATACACATGTAAGTTTTAAAAAATTGGATAATACATCGAATTCATTCAATTTCATATTTTGAGACTTGAACTTGTGAAATGCACCTCTATATTGGGTTTGGGTGAGTCGACGTCTTTTTAAAGACCTCACTCCCGTTGAAATATCGGTGGAATATTGTCGTGAATAGTATTAGGCAGCTAATGTCTAGACATTTTTGAAATTCTATATCCACTTTTTAATTTTTTATTGTTATTCAACTTATCGGAGCGTTAGGCTACTTCTAATAGGCCTACTTTAATTGCACCCCCTCCTTTTCGTCTCCGCAGAGACTTGGACATATCAGTTACAGTGGACTTATTTTCGTACAGAAATTTGGCACAAGTGGATAATTATAAGATATAAACTGTTAAAATGAATTTCAGTCGCTTGAAATGTCCAATTTTTACTTAGCTTTTTCCATGCATTCAAAAAAATTTGATCAAAATTGAATATCATAGTCCCTACTACATGAACATGGACCCGTATGAAAATCTCTCGCTTTTATTAGCTCTCCTGGGTGTTATAGCCTACACTTTGGTGCTTAAAAAAAGCAACACAAATTATTTGAACAGGAGATTCGCAAGTTTTAATCAATAAACCTTCCCATCCATATCCTTTGTTTTAACCTAGCAATTAAAGAATCAACTTATGATTGACTTCCAGCGATAAATATAGGCCTATAAATTAATATAGACCTACAACATTTCATTCAATTTTATTTGACAAAAAGAAGGATTATAATATCAACGAATGTACAGCTCATTAAAAAAGTTGCTTATATTCGATATGCCCATTCTTCGAGGCGATCCTGTAGTCTGCATGGTAAAGATATAAAGATATAGGCCTATGCCTGCTTTGAGATATGGCGGATGTTTCTGAATTAGGACTACGCATCAGATCTATAAACACTAATTAAGTAGCCTACAAAACCATTTGCAAAATATTTTAAATAGTAAGTTATTTTTGAAATAGTTATAATTGCATGCTTGACATCCTAAAGGGTACCATTTTTTCGGGATACCTATGCAAATAATAACAACAAGACACTTGCTTTCTTGTAGGCCTATCATCAATTATTATCATTATCAGAGTATGATAATAGGCCTATTTGATATAACATAGTTAAAATTCATACAAAGCAAAAGCATATAACACTGGTTGTTCTGCTTTATCACAGTGGGCCCTACACACGCTTTAATTTTACCCTTGGAAGTCTATTCTAGATCTGGCTCTGTCGGTTGACCTTTGCTGACTTATATATCTAACTGACAAACTCTTAGCACATATGGAGACAAACAAATATTTGAAATGTTTGACTGATATGTATCTAACAATTTAGATAATTTATAGAAAGGGTATTTTACATGTTCATGAAATGTTATGTGTTACTCCTAAGGGGTCATCCACTTTTTTGTCATTTTTTACAAACCGTACGCTGGAGGGGGGGGGGGATTTAATGCCCACATGTGAAATAATAAAATTGATGATCCAAATTGTTGAGAAAGGTAATAATTTTTTAGCTTTTTACCCTCATTGTACTGTCTGAGGGAGGGGAATCTGAAAAAAAGTCTATGCAGACTAGTAAAAAATGATGAAAATGGATGGCCCCTAATAAGACAGCTCGACAAAAACATGCTAATAAAACATAGTAGTTACTTCTATGTAATAAAATATTCATGTACTGCGATTAAAGGCCCTCTGCATAACAGAAAACGTGAAATAAAAACACTTTACAAAGTTTTGTTTGAATAGCTTTGCTTGAAAAAAATGAAAACACTCACAAAATTAGCTAATATTCAGATAACTATTACCCTAGGTTCTAGATTCCGGTATTGCCAGCTCGATCTTGATTTCATATATAACCCATATCAACAATACTAGTAAAAGCGACTCCATCACAAGGTATATTTAAGCTAGTTAGCTTTTACGTTGCTCTGACACTCAGGGTAATAACTAAAGCGTGATTTTTAACCTCATGGAAGCTTTGACAAGGCAAAATGGTTGTTGAAAGCGGCCGCGCGCGGCTTAAAAGCCTTCTGAGACCCTCCCACATAACAGCCAGGTCCTCAATTTTTGTCACAGGGATACATCCCTGTCAATTATTCTGTTCTGGGAGTGGCTCCATGGGCGTCGTCTGCTCTGTGTCTGGCAACATGGACATGGTCAGCTCGTGAGACTGGGGGATTTGATGATCTGTTGGCGCTGAGATTGGGGAACGACTCTCCTGGCGGCAGCGTCCGTGACATCCAGGACAACACACTAGGGAAGATAGTGTAGAAGTGAGGTCGACATTAAAGAGGGAATACTGACATATAAAAAGAGAAAAATGACAGCAAGAACTGACGAAAGAAAGGAAGAAGAAAGAGAGAGAGGAAAAAAATTAAGGAAGTTTTAAAAAATCGAAGCTTTAGATGAAAAATCGTTATTAATCATGAGGCAATTTACACTGATGTGAAGGTAATACTTCTTTACCCACCTTTAGGGGTTTTTGCCTTGACCACCAACCCAAGAAGAAATCCAAATACAAGTCCCCCGACCAATGCTGGTACGACCCACACAGGGGAAATATTTAACACGGAGCTTTGTTCCCGACTACATGCCGTTGTATTTCGTCCAGAGGCAGGTCCGCCAGTCACAGTTTCCGCCTCAATCGAGGGAACAGCGGGTGAGGTTGATGGAGTCGATTCCTCTGGGCCACAGAGGGAAGGGCAGTGATTCTTGGTGCATACAGTGACAAAGACTGTAAGATAAAATAATGATGGCGTATAGCAGGGGTTCAGTAAGTTATATCAACTGCTGTGTATCGGTTGACTTAATCAACATTGAATAAGGTCAAAAAATAATCTGAGTAGGCAAGATTTATAGCTGACTAGATAAGACTGAAATTTCAATATCACAGAGGAAACATTAAGGGCGACGTAATATTAGATTAAAACACCCTTCAATAAATAGAAACGCACGTTACGCACACAAAAAGAAAAATCTATAACACCTGTACAGTGCTTGACATGAACATTAAATAAACAGCGGTGAGTGAGCATAGTATTGATTCCGGTGTTATCGGTAAATAAATAAGCTATATTACTTATAATTAAGTGTTAATGTCTTACCTTCACAAGCCTTGACTATGCTGATGTTTGCATGACTGGCGTACTCGTACTCCTTCCTACAACTTGCACACCTCCCAATTCCCTCATCGTAATATTGAAGTATAGGTTGACATTTTCCATCTGCCACTGGTTGACGAGGAATAGCATTGAGACCGCTAACTACAGGTAACATTAAATAAACTAAAAATGAACCAAATATAGAGTAAGTCGTCTTCCTATCCGACATTACGTCTAAAGTTTTTGATATAGTTTTTCTTTGTACTAGGACTTTATACTAGGAGCGAAGGAGCAAACAAAAATAATAAAAACTCCCTTATTGCTCTTCAATAGCCCCCTTTTTATTTTAACGTATATGACGTGCTACATGGATCTATGAATAATTTATGAGCAAGGTGCGCCCTTGTCAACAAATTCCTCAAAACCACAATACCACACCAATGTCTCATGATATCTATGAACCATGACATATCGATTTGACGGTTAAGAACTATAAATCAGCTGGTCAAAATTCTAATTCCAAGAGGGGAATATCAGTTTGATTCTTTTTTTCGGAAAATTAAAAGGGGGGGTGGGGGGCAGGACCCCCTGACCCCTTCTAAATCCGCCACTGCTATTCATTAGAGATGCATGTACATAGACTATATTCAGGTGCGGATTCAGGGGGGGGGGTCTTTTTATTTTTACCCCCCCCCCCAAAAAAAAAAAAAGAAAAATAATTTTCAAACTTTAATACGTGGAACGAACGTTTTAAATATAATATTGAATAATTCATAATTTACTATTTAAATTTTATAGAGCCATCTAATAACAACACAAGATAGTAATGTAAGCCTTATGACACTTGAGCACGGTCACGTTGTTCAGATTAAAATGATATATATATCTAGGCATGTATTGAGCGTGATTTGTCTGTATCAGAACACCTCGACTAATAGTTGTCTGTTACTGAATAACTATCTGAAATCAAAATTGGAGAGGGATTTAAGGGAGTGATGTAAGGCACATGAGTATATTGTTTGGTGTAGAACTACCTAAACACTGACAGTGACGTTTTATTGTGAAGCGTGTTTCTACCTGGAGTGTCGCGTAGCGGGAAGGAGGAGGAGTCGCGTATTCTGTTCTACTTTTCTAAACCTATTGTGACAAAAAATGATAAATCTAGCTTTTTGTGTAATAATGCATACATTTTCCGATTCATGCCTTGCTAGTATGGAATTTTTTCGTATTCAGTAAAGAAGGTTTAAAAAAACAACCATTTTGGATTATATTCGCATGTTATTAATACTAACAAAAATTAGACTGCGCTAAAGGGGTTACGAGATGCACATTATTTTTACTGGCACAACTGTCTTCAACTCCAAGTATATTTTTCACAATGCCTGTCAACGAAGGTTTTGCAAATTACTGTCTATGAGAATGCAGTTTCGTCTAAAACAATTAACTGTGTCCTGTCATCATATCGCCTAGCTAATCATGGATATAACTTAAGATTCTTTAAATGGCTGAAATATTACAAAAACATCAAACAACTTAAAATAATGACCTGCGGCAAAAGACCTCACGTTTTTTTTTTTTTTTTCATTTTTGAAAGCCAGGTGACACCACAAACGTGATAACCCGAAGCCATGAATGGAGGCGTCCGTTGTTAATTATTACCTATATCAGTAGACCTTTTATTGTGAAATATTTATTTGTTTCTGCTGCCTGGTATAAGTTTATCAACCTACTGCTTCTTTCTTTTGTTTCGTAAAATCACAATAACTTGTTTTCCATTTCTCAGAATAACAACTCAGTTGATTACAAAATATGTTTTAGAGTACGAGGTGACTGTATGTGCCAAGTCCAGTGTACTTTCAATTCACTCACTACAGTTCACTACAATGAAAACAATCATGCGCCCTCAGGCTGCCTCGAAAACGCAGTCACCCTATGCCCCATTATATTATCCACGTCATTTTGGATCAGTGTTCGAATACACACGTTCTATAGTGGCTTGCGAGAAGTTCACGTCTACCTGTACCAGTTTAACGGACATGGGGCCTATCATAATTTTGGGGAGAAGGTTTATGCTGCTCACAAATTGTCATCCAATTTGGCTGTACATTTGGAAGTCACTGCGTAGTACTTATTACTCTTGTTATAAAATAAAATGATAAACAGAATAATCAAAATAAAAATAGTTAATTAAAGATGTATGTTCAAAAGATATTATAATCAATTATAGGCATCACTATCAAACGCCACCCCCTATGAACAAGTTGACCAGGAACGCCACCATGTGACATTATATTGATGAAGGTATAAAAGCGCGAAATTTTGAAATTGCGTTCATTCAACGCAGACAGATCTGGAGCAACAAGAAGGATGCCACGTACTGCGCCCCGTAAAAAGGACACAGGAGTCGACTCACATTTCTCCGAATCTTTTCCTCGTATCAAGTCAACGCATCGCTCATCGACATGTTGTTTCTTGCACACGCAGTCGTCTGGACAATGGATTCGACGCTTCTCTAAGCTGGCCAGCTAAAACCTTCGCTTCTCTCCACGAGGAATCGTCGCTCAGGAGTCTTCGCAGGATACATCTTCGGCTTTCTGCTGTTGTGGGCTATATTGTTGTAGTGTAATTGCATATATTTCCATGCATTTCAGGTTTCCTCTTATTACATACATAAGTAGGAAAAGTCATTAATCCGTTTTTCTTTCTTTTAACAGACCTCGATTAAGGCGATTCTCGATAGAGCTCCCACTGACAACAGCAAGGAGAATAGGGCCACATCTACACTTCAGCTACTTCGATCAATCATTGGTGCCAACGAGTCCTGCCATGGTCTGTCTACGAGGTGGCTGCATTGGGGAAGCGTCCAAGGCATATGGTGTTTCACTGAGTTGGGAAACCCTTAAAGGTAAGCCTGACTGCGGAGTGCTGACATAGGTAGGAAAAGTCATTAATCCGTTTTTTTTTCTTTTAACAGAACTCAACAACTGCAAGAAGAAGAGGGCCACATCTACACTGTCTACGAGGTGGCTGCATTAGGAAAACGTCCAGCGAGTCCTGTCATGGTCTGTCTACGAGGTGGCTGCATTCGGGAAGCGTCCAAGGCATATGGTGTTTCAATGAGATGGAAAACCCTTAAAGGTAAGCCTGACTGAAGAGTGCTGACATATGTAGGAAAAGTCATTAATCCGTTTTTCTTTCTTTTAACAGAACTCGCCACCTCAAGCAGAAGAGGGCAACATCTAAACTGTCTACGAGGTGGCTGCATTAGGGAAATGGCCAGTGAGTCTGCCATGGTCTGTCTACGAGGTGGCTGCATTGGAGAAGCATCCAGCGAGTCCTGTCTTGGTCTGTCAACGAGGTGGCTGCATTGGGGAAGCGTCCAACGAGTCCTGCCATGGTCTGTCTACGAGGTGGCTGCATTGGGGAAGAGTCCAAGGCATATGGTGTTTCAATGAGATTGAAACCCTTAAAGGTAAGCCTGACTGCAGAGTGCTGACATAGGTAGGAAAAGTCATTAATCCGTTTTTCTTTCTTTTAACAGAACTCGACAACTGCAAGGAGAAGAGGGCCACATCTACACTGTCTACGAGGTGGTTGCATTAGGGAAACGTCCAGCGAGTCTGCCATGGTCTGTCTACGAGGTGGCTGCATTGGGGGATCTAGCGTCCAAGGCATATGGTGTTTCAATGAGATGGAAAACCCTTAAAGGTAAGCCTGACTGCAGAGTGCTGACATAGGTAGGAAAAGTCATTAATCCGTTTTTCTATCTTTTAACAGAACTCGACAACTGCAAGGAGAAGAGGGCCACATCTACACTGTCTACGAGGTGGCTGCATTAGGGAAGCGCAGAGCGAGTCTGCCATGGTCTGTCTACGAGGTGGCTGCATTGGGGAAGCGTCCAGCGAGTCCTGTCATGGTCTGTCTACGAGGTGGCTGCATTCAGGAAGCGTCAAAGGCATATGGTGTTTCAATGAGATGGAAAACCCTTAAAGGTAAGCCTGACTGCAGATTGCTGACATAGGTAGGAAAAGTCATTAATCCTTTTTTCTTTTTTTTAACAGAACTTCAACAACTGCAAGGAGAAGAGGGCAACATCTACACTGTCTACGAGGTGGCTGCATTAGGGAAGCGCAGTGCGAGGTGGCTGCATTGGGGAAGCGTCCAGCAAGTCCTGCCATTGTCTGTCTACGAGGTGGCTGCATTGACAACTCGACAACTGCAAGGAGAAGAGGGCAACATCTACACTGTCTACGAGGTGGCTGCATTAGGGAAACGTCCAGCGAGTCTGCCATGGTATATGGTGTTTCAATGAGATTGAAACCCTTAAAGGTAAGCCTGACTGCAGAGTGCTGACATAGGTAGGAAAAGTCATTAATCCCTTTTTCTTTCTTTTAACAGAACTCGACAACTGCAAGGATAAGAGGGCCACATCTACACTGTCTACGAGGTGACTGCATTAGGGAAGCGTCCAGCGAGTCCTGTCTTGGTCTGTCAACGAGGTGGCTGCATTGGGGAAGCGTCCAACGAGTCCTGCCATGGTCTGTCTACGAGGTGGCTGCATTGGGGAAGAGTCCAAGGCATATGGTGTTTCAGTGAGATTGAAACTCTTAAAGGTAAGCCTGACTGCAGAGTGCTGACATAGGTAGGAAAAGTCATTAATCCTTTTTTCTTTCTTTTAACAGAACTTCGACAACTGCAGGGAGAAGAGGGCAACATCTACACTGTCTACGAGGTGGCTGCATTAGGGAAATGGCCAGCGAGTCTGCCATGGTCTGTCTACGAGGTGGCTGCATTGGAGAAGCATCCAGCGAGTCCTGTCTTGGTCTGTCAACGAGGTGGCTGCATTGGGGAAGCGTCCAACGAGTCCTGCCATGGTCTGTCTACGAGGTGGCTGCATTGGGGAAGAGTCCAAGGCATATGGTGTTTCAATGAGATTGAAACCCTTAAAGGTAAGCCTGACTGCAGAGTGCTGACATAGGTAGGAAAAGTCATTAATCCCTTTTTCTTTCTTTTAACAGAACTCGACAACTGCAAGGAGAAGAGGGCCACATCTACACTGTCTACGAAGTGGCTGCATTAGGGAAGCGTCCAGCGAGTCCCGTCTTGGTCTTTCAACGAGGTGGCTGCATTGGGGAAGAGTCCAAGGCATATGGTGTTTCAGTGAGATTGAAACTCTTAAAGGTAAGCCTGACTGCCGAGTGCTGACATAGGTAGGAAAAGTCATTAATCCTTTTTTCTTTCTTTTAACAGAACTTCGACAACTGCAGGGAGAAGAGGGCAACATCTACACTGTCTACAAGGTGGCTGCATTGGGGAAGCGTCCAGCGAGTCCTGCCAAGGTCTGTCTACGAGGTGGCTGCATTGGGAAAGTGTCCAAGGCATATGATGTTTCACTGAGATGGAAAACCCTTAAAGGTAAGCCTGACTGAAGAGTGCTGACATAGGTAGGAAAAGTCATTAATCCATTTTTCTTTCTTTTAACATAACTCGACAACTGCAAGGAAAAGAGGGCCACATCTACACTGTCTACGAGGTGGCTGCATTAGGGAAACGTCCAGCGAGTCTGTCATGGTCTGTCTACGAGGTGGCTGCATTTGGGAAGCGTCCAAGGCATATGGTGTTTCAATGAGATGGAAAACCCTTAAAGGTAAGCCTGACTGAAGAGTGCTGACATATGTAGGAAAAGTCATTAATCCGTTTTTCTTTCTTTTAACAGAACTCGACAACTGCAAGGTGAAGAGGGCAACATCTACACTGTCTACGAGGTGGCTGCATTAGGGAAACGGCCAGCGAGTCTTCCATGGTCTGTCTACGAGGTGGCTGCATTGGAGAAGCATCCAGCGAGTCCTGTCTTGGTCTGTCAACGAGGTGGCTGCATTGGGGAAGCGTCCAACGAGTCCTGCCATGGTCTGTCTACGAGGTGGCTGCATTGGGGAAGAGTAGAAGGCATATGGTGTTTCACTGAGATGGAAAACCCTTAAAGGTAAGCCTGACTGCAGAGTGCTGACATAGGTAGGAAAAGTCATTAATCCGTTTTTCTTTCTTTTAACAGAACTCGACAACTGCAAGGAAAAGAGGGCCACATCTACACTGTCTAAGAGGTGGGTGCTTTAGGGAATCGCCCAGCGAGTCCTGTCATGGTCTGTCTACGAGGTGGCCGCATTGGGGAAGCGTCCAGCAAGTCCTGTCATGGTCTGTCTACGAGGTGGCTGAATTAGTGAAGCGTCCTGCGAGTCTGTCGTCTACGAGGTGGCTGCATTGGGGAAGCATCCAGCAAGTCCTGCCATGGTCTGTCTACGAAGTGGCTGCATTGGGGAAGCGTCCAGCGAGTCCTGCCATGCCCTGTCTACGAGGTGGCTGCATTAGGGCAGTGCCCAGCGAGTCTGCCGTGGTCTGTCTACGAGGTGGCTGCATTGGGGAAGCGTCCAGCAAGTCCTGATATGGTCCGACTACGAGGTGGCTGCTTGGGAAAGCGTCCAGCGATTCTTGACATAGTCTGTCTGCGAGATGGCTGCATTTGGGAAGAGTCCAAGGGATATGGTGTTTCACTGAGATGGAAAACCCTTAAAGGTAACCGTGTTTTTGGGCAGAGAAATAGACTAAAATGATTTTTCGGTTGCAGTCTATACCATAAACCTTTCACCTTACTGGCCATTCGGACCTCAACTTTTCTAAAAACTACTGGTCTGAGACGGGATTCACTGGTCCAAATACAAATTTAAATAAAATTGTACTGGATTGCATGAAAAAGACCTTGGCGTTTTTAGAATTATGATGTAACAGTTTAATTAAAAAAGAAATCAAATCAAAAGTTCTTTTGGTAACTTAAAAAAAAACCTTATGGTCAAATAACCAATTGAAACATTCTGACAAATCTTGTTCGAACAATAATTAGTATTTTAGTCATTGACTACACAGAAAATAGACATATTGATACAACAAAGGGTTGGTGATTCAATTAACAGGCTTAATAATAATCAGAAAGTGTTACCGTTTTAGAGAACAAAAGGAAAGGAGATGAGATAATCACAACGAGAAAACAAAGCGGCTGGACAGCAAAAAGTCCAGTGACCTGATAGTGCTGGGTTTGCCTTGGAAGAGCACAGACGATGACTTGAAGGCTTACTTCTCACAGTTTGGTGAAATCATGGCACAGGTACTCATTGCTACTCATTAAGATCACTGATTTGGGTTTCATGAAAAAATTTTTTAAAAGTTAGTCTTAAATTTTAGACCAAAAGGATTAAAATGGAGCAGTCCAGAGTTATTATTGATATCAAATGATTGTAATTTAGTTCTTCTAATAAAACTAATTACTGTTTTAAGTGAACTGCTTATGCCGCAGGCTGCTTTAAATACACAATTTATGGAAATTAAACAAACTAGACAACAGTTCACTTTTGTTTGTACCATAAAATGTAGAAGTAAAGTCTGATAGAAAACAAGCATCTAATCATAATTCTTAAAAACGTATTCATGCTAAAAATTCATTTATATTTTGAGGCGAGTTAAGTTGATAGCATTTAATAATGGCCCTAAATATTTTCATGGGGCAGCCCACTGTCTCTCGAAATAAATTCGTAAGATTCTTTACAACAAATATCATTTTTATCTCAAGGTTCTGCTAAAAAAAGCCCTTAGCCATGCACTGTTATGAAACGATCCACTGTCGCCGTAAAATGATTTCTCTCGGCCATTAACCACCCTTTTGGAATAAACCACTTTTCAAAGTTAGTACATTGGGGGAGGAAGGTATAGAGAAAAACTAATGCTATTTTATTTTACAGAATTCGATTATGGCAAGTCTAGATGGAGCTCCCACTTAGCGTAAGAAGATTCCAGCCATGGCCTGTTTATAAGGTGGCTGCATGGGGGAACATCAGAAGCATATGGTGTTTCTCGGAAATGGAAACCTTGCAAGTCGTAAAAGGTAACTCATGTTATTGCGAAGAATAATACACTAGAGTCAGTTACCTTACCTCACAAAATTCTTGAAACAAAGCCCTTAGTCATATTAATTTTACAGCTCACTTTCACCTCTGAATAAAAAATTAAGGTTAGTGGGTTGGGTAGGGAGAACAGGTAAATGGGGAAACTAATGTTTTCTAAATTTCTGTTTTGAAGTTGAGACGGATAGCATTGGTGAGCTCCTGGCCTGATGACGGTCCACTTTCATAAGGTTAAAATGGAGAAAGCGATATTAGCATGTGGGATTTCAATGTGTGATACCACTGAAATTTAGGACTCTTTAAGGTAAGTTATGGGCCAGGGTAGAGGGTGAACAAGGAACTTAATTTATTCTATAGATATTACAAATCTTTTGCCAATGCAAATTCAACAAACTTGATATTTTGTGCAAAGCCTTAGGCAAAATTGTTTTAAATTAGACTGTTTGGAAACTGTTGTCTAGCAATTAAATGTAGACATTTTTCTATTTACAATTTATCAAAGGAAATTCATATAGCAAACATTTTAGAATCCAAAAGCTCTTTCAATTTGCCACAAACTTGAGAAAAAACTCATGCAAAAAACTCATTTTTGTAGACAAAAGCTTTTTAAGTTGTCACAAACTGGCAAAAAAAAAAAAAGAAAAAATCACTCCATATGATTTTGACATCCTATCGACCAACTTTCAGATCTTCATCAGTTTCAATGTGACACACGTGGCGTTGTCACTGGTCTAGAATACTAGGAGCTACTACCCCCCAACCTCGCCCTCGGTGCTGCGGTTGTGGTATTAATTAAGACACCATCGTACAGGTGAGCATGTATTTTCATCTGTTTATATTGTTCAGATCTTTAGGCTTTTTCGTGATTTATATTCCTTCCAATATCCCTCTTATTTTCTAGTCACTTTCTTTTTGTAGAATCTTAGCACTGTGTTTAATCATAATGTGGTTTTCTTGTTGTGTTATAGAAATAAAATAAAATAAAATAAAATAAAATAAAATAAACGTGTTAAGAACCAAGGCATTATGAAACAAAATTATGAAAATACTAGAGTTAACGGTGTGTACATACTAGTGACATGCATGTTCTTTGTTGCAAGAACTGCAAGCTTTCAATTACTTTTCATACTTTTGTGTTAACATGTTACATTTCATTTGTAGGCTACGAAAGGGCAGTTTTTCAGATAGAATGCCCGAACGCAGATACCATCAATCCTAGCCCAAATGTTCAAGATGTAAAACGCTTAATGGCGCTAGCAAAGTGCACCTGTAGCCACTTTCAGTGACGATTGGACTTCCTAGCAGTCTTGGTTTTTAAGGACACAGCTTGTCTGCAAAAAAATTTTAGAGAATGTGGAATGGTAATGAAGAGCGAAATATTGAATGAAATAGGAATACAATCTAATAATGTTCTCAAGTCTTTTATTTATTGAGAATTTTTGCGCTTCATGGGTCACAGATATGAGTTGGGTATAATTGCATTTAGTAAGTTTTATTTTTTTCACTCATGACAGTGAAACATTTTATTCCAATAGCTTAAGAGCAAAAAATGGAAGTTCAGTATGATCATTCATAATTCCACAAATGTTCAATTGAATATGATGAATTGTGGTTCTTTGTGAAAATAGTCTGCCTCTACAGTTATTAGTAAAATTTAAAATATAGCATCCAGTTGCTTTATCCACATTCTAAATGCAGATAGGTTTTCGCTCGCAAAACATTGGAATACCACTGTTTATGGTCGTCTGTGTTTTATTTCAATCTTAGTGATGTAGTCATTTTTCAAATTTGTGCTTTTGATGATGTGGAGTTGTTTGTCAGTATATAGCATTTGAGAAGATCATTATCCGCACACTAACCTCAACTAACTCTCACATCTTTGTAAAATCCGACTTGATGTAAACGCTTTTACATGAAGCGGTTTTACATTGATAGCTTGTGCAAAATCTATAATGAAATATTTAACGTTTGAGAAAATATTTCATTACATTTTTGTACATAGTCTGCTCCTCATGAGGGATGGCTGGGTGCACACAGCCATCTCTCAAGAATGAGTATCGCACATTACTAATATTATGATTTTCTCAAGTGTTATAGTTGACAAACGTATCCAATTCATCATATATGCACCTTTTTTCTCCGGACCCAAAAATTCATATTGAAATTTGCATGGACGGCCATACAGTGTAATGTGAAATATGAAATATGTCGAAGCAAGCTTGCTTTATTTTTTACTTGTATCATACAGGTAGTTGCGATTTCAGGGCAAAATTACAAACAGTTATGTCAAAATTTAATTTCAATCATTAAGGTTTCTGGGTAATAATCATATTACCCGAACTTTTATATATTTTATCATGAGAGAGAACTATATCCAATTTCTGATGTATGCTTTCAGTTGTAAAAGGATCGAGTTACTTTATTTATGACTTCATCTCCCTAGATGAAGTTAAAATATGCCTTAGTTTAATTGTGTTAAGACTCTAGAAAATGTGTCTGAATTGTCTTTAGTACCTCTTTCAGTAGGGATTACATGTACTTTGGTAAATTCTTGTGCTTCATTTTGTGTACCAGTATAGTGTATATAGAGAATAGTTTGTAGTCACGAGAAAAAGTTTATTCAGTTGCACCGTGCAGTCTAAAACGGGACGATATTTATGAACTGTAATGCGCCGTGCCAATAGAAAATCTGAAGTCGTCATGTTTTATACTGAAGTATCCGGGCGTGGGCATTTTCCCGGCATTCCCCACGAAGGGTTTAGACGGGTTTTTCCCCACGGCCCGAGAGCATTGATCTACCATATATTGATTCATTGCGTTTACGTGATTAATTAATGATAACTTGAGTACTTTTGAAATTGAATGTTACTGTATATAATAGTTGAATAAAACTATATTTTCTAATTTTTCTTTTTGTTAAAAAACAGAAGGCGTGCACAGATGGAAAAATAGTAAAGTTAAGTTAATAATTAAGTTTTTTCGTTTTCTCACATTTTAATTAATTTCAGACTGCATTTTAATTTGCAACCTTCATCACGAAGCGCTAAAGAGGACACGTTTTCCGGACATCGAGATCCATATATACGAAATCTAATTGTTCTCTGGGCTCTATTCATTCCGACCAATGAGAAACCCGCAAACGGGCTCCAACCCCAAGTGTGTATATTCCTTTTGAGACCAAATTTCTTAGGTTTTTCAGCTGTTACTTAAAAAAATGTTGTTTTGGAGAGCAAACAGTGCCTTTTTGTACGGTTTAGAACTATAATTTATATAGTTAGTCAAAATTCTAATTTCAAGAGGGGAATATTGGTGTGATATATTTTTCAGAAACCGAAGGGGCGAGGGGGGGGGGGGTCAGGAGTCGGTGTTGAAATCATTCGCAAAGAATGGCGAATCTATATGATTTAGAGGATAAATTGATAAAACTTATTTTTGTGAGCTCTTGATTATAGTAGGTTATTTTGCCATTTATTTGCAATATAATAAAGCCTACAGAGCTTCACTACCCTGTACATAAAAATACGGAAGAAAACAACGTAACGGCTACGCGCTATCAAGAACTGGTGTACCAATGAGATGAGATTAGGAAAGAATTTACTCAATTATAAAAATCGGAAATATTTTTTCTTTGGAGCAAAGTTTGTTGAATGCAAAGGTAAATGTAAAAGCAATACAATTAATAAATTAAGAATTGGGGTTTAAAAACAAATTAAAATGAGTTACCGCACTCGGATAAAAACAGTGATTATGCATCTAGCTTACATTAGACACGTAGACATCTTAGCTTCTTGTGCGGCACATGCTTTTTTTAAAAGTAGGACAGAAAGGAATTGTTTGAAAAAAATATTTCTAGCCTTCAAACAATCCCACAGATTGCAGATAATTGGGAAACAAAGCAAAAAAGTGATTTGAAATTGTTTATTAAATGCCTTTTCTTTATTTACATAGCAAACAAATATTCCATATGAAGAAATTTTAACAAAAATTTTCTAGGAGATGATTTCTTTTTGGCCAACCACTACACCGAGGACATGACGTTAACATTATTAATGCATATAAATATTTACATATTTACACATATTTTTCCAGTCTCAAATAAATTCTCAGGTTAAAGAAATGGACTGATCCATACAAAACTTGAGTGACTACAGACAAAAAATAGCAACAAATGACTTAAAATCTTTCATTCTGAATGTAAATTCTCTTCCCCAATCAATAATGTCCATCAACGATAAGACTGAAGTCAGTTACAATATGTTAAAATGGAGACAGCAGAATAAATGCATTTCATTTTTGGTGAGTGTTGAGATTAACTGGACTGGGTTTGTTTATTGTCTTTGAATATTGTGAAGAATTATGCACTTATGTGTTGAGGCTGGTTTATTTTTCTTTCCACTCCGGCAATGTATTTATCATGGATTCCAAGGGACCTGAAAGAGAGAAAGCACAGATTATAAGCATACTTTTCAACATGAAATATGTTTACAAATTGCAGTATCTTCATCAAGAGTTTCTGACTTTCAGAAATTATGCATGTTTTGTGCATTTATGATTATTTTTTTGTTAGTAAACGTCTTTTTATGGTTAATAAACAAGAGATCTGTGCCTTTTGGAAACTACAATTTTGTCACCCATAAATGTGCAATAATTGTGATGTACACTTCAGAAAATTTTCTTTGGTGGAAAAAAAGCGGAGTGGGAAGTTTTATCACTGAAGTTACATGTAAAACAACCTACCTTAGATCATCTAATTTTTTCTTCTTTATTTCATCTAACTTTTGCCTTCTTTGTCTGGCCTCCTCATCCAGTTTCACACCTTCCTCAAAGAAAGCGTTTCTTGCATTTATCTTCTCTTCCTCCTTCTCTCTGATCTGCAGCCGCACGTCGTCAGCATGTCTGTACCTTTTCTTCATGCCTTCAACCTCCAGGCGCTTCTCCTTCTCCACAAGTTCTTTTTGTGCTCTGAAATCAATATAGTTTATAAATATAATAGAGAAACATAAACATGCCTCAAACTTTTCTATCATCGTTGTTTGTTGATTGAAATGTCTTGGTCAAACATGGTATTGCATGACATTGGCATGAATTAGTAAAACTTTTTTGTATTATGTACATAATGCCATATGTAAAGAGGTGCAATTTTGTTTGTATATATGAGATTAAAAAATTTCAAAATATAGCCTCTGTGAGTAAGCTCCACATTGTTTGATCTTCAACGATAATGTGTGGTGTGTAATATGCTGACAAATGGAAAAATATTAAATATTAATGATTGTTCTGTAATATTACCTAAGGACTCTCTCAAACTCTGCCCTCTCCCTCTGTGCCTGAACTGCCAAGAAGTGCTCTTTCTGGTCCATCTGCTTGGCCCGCGCTACCTTCAGCATGGTCTCCGTTTCAACTTTCTTGCGTTGCTCCATGGCTTCCTTGGCACGCCACTCACGCTCCGCTTGTTCTTGTGCACGCTTTGCACGTAGAGCATCTCTCTCTGCCTGCTCGTCCCGTGCACGTTCTTGCAAGGCACGCATTCTTGCAGTTTCCTTTTCCTTCTCAATTCGTATTCTTTCCTGTTCTCTCTCAAAAGCTGCTTCTCTTTCCTGGAAATGAAATTTCACAGTTTAGTTGAGTACTTATTTCCAGCCTTCTTAATAAACAGTAAATTACTTCATTTATAATTTACACTTCATGGCTTAATCCTCTTCCAACAGTATTCAAAGCCTTAGTAAGGCTCATGCAACTACTTCATACACATTTTACTTAGGTTCAAAGTTCATTAAACAATCAATTTTGATGCCCTAGGGTTATGCATTTTTTAAAGCTTTATAGAAAACCCATCTATAAAAATCAACATGTTTTCTTTATTTTTACAGTTTTTGTTTTTCAAAAGAGTAAGGAAACTTACAGCTTTCTGTTTCTGGTATTCCACAACTTTGAGTTCTGCCAATTTCTCTTGTTCTGCTTGTAGTTCTTTTCTCTGCAGCATATCTGCATTGGCGCGATTCAGCTCTTCCTACAATAAAACACAGCACATCATAAGGCATGGTTTTACAAGCATTTGAAATTACATATTACATATTGAAATTTAATTTGAAATTACATATTTATAACAAAAAATCCTTTTCTTTGGGGGGGGGGGGGGGCAGGAACAGAAAAAATATTTTTTAAGCATTTACATCTGATTTTCCAACTCCAAATAGTTGAGAAATTACTTTTCAAAAAAAAAAAAAAAAAGTTTTAAAAAGCAAAATATCTACTTTTTAATCAAAGCATGTGTACTCTGAAAATGGAATTATTTTAATTTATCATCTACAATCTTCATTCCAACAGATGAAACCCACCCTCAATGCTGCTGCCTCGGCGTGTTTCTTCTCCAGCTTCTGTTCATCCTCCTCCATCAGCTTTCTGAGATATTTTTGCATTTGGATGTTTTCTTGATCTTTCCTCTCGAGCTCAAACAGACGCTCTTGGTCATTATCCTGAAGAAATAACAAAGTAGGAGGTTAGAAATAATAAATAATTAGGAAAAAAAAATTCAGTGTAGAGTAAGTATGTGTTCACATTTATATCATAAAATGGAAAATGTTATGATAAGAAAAGTCAGATCTTAATTCTCAACTCACATTCTTATTTTGTGGTGACATCATTAATCTTTATCATGTTACTATTGGCTAAGAAATCATTATTTATCTATATAAAAATACAAACATCTATCCATGTATTTTCTAGTAGCAAAAAGTCAATCCAATATTACCTGAATTTGTTCCAAAACCTTAGCAGCTCCCAGCAGCTTCTCTTCTTTTCTTCTTTTCTCAATTTCCTCCTGCATGGCAATGGCATTGACACGCTCTACTTCCATCATCATGTCCAAGCGTTTCTCTTCCTCCTCCATCTCCGTCTTGATGTGGCCCTTCTCCAGGACCTGGGCATCACGTATGGCATGACACTTGGCATTCAGTATGAGCTGGAAATAGAGAACATGACACTTGGCATTCAGTATGAGCTGGAAATAAAGAACATGACACTTGGCATTCAGTATGAGCTGGAAATAAAGAACATGACACTTGGCATTCAGTATGAGCTGGAAATAAATATCATATCTTATTGCAACCTGCCAAAATGTATACATTTTATGAGCTTTTGGCCATTATTGATGTATTAGATTTTAATATGCAATTTTGAATCCCGGGGATTTTTTGAAACATAAAGGGTATTACACTTGACATTGAAATGAATTGGAACTAATATAAATTATTCCTGTTCTGTTTTTTCCAGAAAGAGCTACATTTATACTTGTGGCATACACTGGTAGTTTATACACATCCAATTAAAACTGATGTATGTGAGATGGGTAATGAGGTGTGTGTGTGTGTGTGTGTGTGTGTGTGTGTGTGTGCGTGTGTGATGTAGAAATAAAATACCTCATTCAGATGTTTGATTTCATCTTCCTGCTCCTGCCTCTGTAAGTTAGCCTTCTCAAGCAGGTGTTCTGCTTTCTCCTTGGCCTCCTGCTCCAAGTCATTCAGCTTGCCATTCTTCTGCCTGTTGATGTCCATTGTCTTCATCATCTGCTTCCTGGCAGTGGCCTCCTCCTGCAAACAGACAAACATTTATGAATTAAATAGATTTGATGAATGAAAAATGTGTAAAATTAAAATAGAAATAGTAGGACACTAAACTAGCAATGGAGTTAAATTTAGAACCACTCTACCTAGTAAGTCTAAGTCAAGCAAACAAACCAATACTAATTTAACATTAACATATGAGCAGCTACTCAGTACAGTGACCTCTAACAACTATTAATGCATCTAGTCAGATTTCAAAAGACCAAATCACTAAAGCTAATAGATGCTATTGTCAATAAGCATTATAAATTACCTGAGCCATCTCTTTTTCCCTCTTAATTCTTTCCAGCTCGGCCATCTTTTGTTCTTGTGTCATAACAATGGAAGCATTTTTGATGCGGTTGAAATCATAGCCCTCTAAAATGATTGATACACCAGATGGATCTTCTTTTGGAACTCTGCAAGAAGATGGATTTTACATTCTAACATTGTTTCATCATTTTCAACTTCAGAGATTTGCTTGGTTTATGCTACCATAAATCCTCCCCCC